ACCTGTCTGACAATTTGTTGATGCCACGCCAAAAAAATTGTTGCTCTTTTGAGCCAAACCAGTCATCTAGCCATTTTCGTACATCTTCGTAAGAAGTGAAGCGCTGCTGAGCAAGTGCGTGTCCCATCGATGCAAATAAGTAATAATCGGACGGAGCCAAGTCTGTTGAGTAAGTCGCATGCGAAAGTATTTCCCAACCAAACGCCTCAATCGTTTCCTTGATCAGTTTTGCTGTGTGTGATGGTGCATCATGAAGCAAAATCACTTTGTGTTGCCTTTTTTGATATTCCGATCGTTTTTCACGCAAAGCTTGATTCAAATTGATCATTTGTTGTCGGTAGCGTTCAGTATTAACGGTTTCGCCAAGTTTTAGCAGTTCATAATAGATCACACCTTTCTGATCGCACCAAACACAGAGCATTGTCTTCCGTCCATAGCGATTTGGCCTCGCAGTCGATGTCGATGGTTCGCCTGGAGTTACCCATGATCTTTTACGCTTAGGATTCTCAAAATATATCCACTTTTCATCGCCAGTCACAATTCGGTGGAGAAATGATTTTCTTTTGTATCTGGCGAGCAGCATTTCGCAAGTGGTTTTTCGGTTTTCCTGCTGTCTTTCATTCAGTTCATGTGGAACCTATTTTTCCATCTTCTAGATCTTTCCCATGGATTTCAAATGTATAGAGACGGCTTCTTGTGTCACATTCAATTGATCCGCGAGTTGTTGAGTTTGAGCATCATTCTCATCCAACAATGCTTGCAATTCACTGTCTTCAAACTTTTTCAATGGTTTTCCACGTTCTTCGTTTCTCATGTCAAAATCGTCACTTTTGAATTTTTTAAACCACTCAAAGCACTGTGATTTACCAAGAGCATACCCACCGTAAGCTTCGACAAGCATTCGATGCGATTCTGCAGCAGTTTTCTTCAAATGGTAACATCAAAATCAATGCTGTCTGCAAATCGTAGTTTCCAGGCACAAAATTCGACATGTTCAACGCTATTACAAACTATACTGTTGTATGAAACTTGTATTGTTGTGAGTTGAAAATCTTTGTCAGATGTCAGAACAAGGAAATGGCATCAATGGCGCGGTCTGACGGCAACTACATTGACAGCTATGGTCATCTATTGGTAAATTCCGGTTTCATATTTACATACCTGGTAAGAATTTTTATTTTAGACCGCATATGTGAGAAACACAATCAATACAGAAATTTAAAATGCCTATTATGATTGAAGCTGGATCTTTATTGCTTTAAATAATTCAATCTTGAATTACTAATATATACTGTATATGTACTTGCATATATATATATATACTATATTGTAGCCGAGGTAATACTTTTCGCAATAAATTTATTAATAGTTTTAACATATTATCTTTATATAATATGATGCTTGATGGTAGCATCAAATTATTAAAATTGCTTGTTAATTTAATTCACCATAATTAGAATAGTTTTGATTGCGTTTATCGTCCGCAAAAACAATTCGGCGCACAGTAAAAGACTACAATAAAGAGTTTAAAAAGACTATAATATGATATTTATGCAAGTATTTACATAGTGTATATTAGTAATTCAAGATTGAATTACTTAAAGCAATGAAGATCCAGTTTCGATCGTAATAGACATTTCGAATTTCTAGTATTGATTGTGTTTATTAAAAAAAGTTATTGGAAATGATTGGGTGTGCAACCCCATTTTGTAATAACTCAGTAACCAAAGGCTACATATTAAAAACATTTCCCAAATGTCGAATGTTGTGCTTTATAGGTAAAAAATGTTGGCGAAAGATGTTATTTATTTTTTTTTATGGACCAGAGAATTATGTATCTTGAAACGATGTAAAAATTATAAAATTGAGTAAATTTATTAGGTGTTGACTAATGAAATTATAAGTATTTCAATGAACTTGCTCACTTTTGTAATTTTTAATTCTCGTTTCAAAGTGCAACAATAAAATTTTTAAAATTTCAAAATAATTTTATTTAAAAAAAAAGATTAAACTGAATAATTTTTCTCGTATATATTATTTCGATATGTAATGTAAGAAATCTATTTATTAATGCCTTTAAAATACTTAATTTTATTATATTGTATTATATTTTATTATATTTTTTTAATTATATTGTTGAAATTTAAGAGTAACACGAATATAGATATTCAAATATAGACAGGAATTGTTAAAACAATCAAAATGCGGCTTTCTGATGTCGCGATTCTGATTAGAGGATTCTCATCTTATTCCCTTAAATTTTTTGTATGCCACGATCCTTAAGTCGAAACATAATGAAGAGCACAGGCAATAGGAACAGGGAATAATGAGTCGTCCAATCAGAGTTTCGAGATACAAGTTAGAGACATAACTTATACTGATAGTGTTCCGAAAACTGTGTCAAAAATATTCTTTTTAGTTATAAGGTTAATAGCGCTGTTACTAACAAATTTGTTCCGTAAGGGATCAGCTAACACCGTGATTTCCATTTGCATTTGCGACGCGCAGAGATGCTATTTTTTATTTTTGTTATAATATAATTAATTATTTATCATTATATTATACATATTTATTTAAACATTATTTAAATAATATAGAGCGAATATTGAACCGATGAGAATAAATTTAATTAAATAAAGGAATCTTATATTTGGTCACGCGGTATGCAGAATTACAAAATATAAATAACGATGATAAAATATAAATGATGAATGATAATTTATAGTAATTATTATTTTTTATGTTGCAAATATAATCATTAGCTTATATACAGAATGAATCGTTAAACCAGCTTTTTATCCTATGAGAGAATAATGAACTACACACTATTATGTTATAATCCTATTAGGTAAAGTCAATAATTTTCTCATAGGGTAAAATGCTTCTACAACTCTGATTCACCCTGTATACAATGTTTCAGGACATTAAGGACAAACTTTAAAGGATATGAGATCTCAATGAAAGAATCAGTTTTTGTGTTTGTAAATTTGTATCCTCTCTCTCACTCACACACACACACACACACACACACACACGCGCGCGCGCGCGCACGCACGCACACATATATTTTTAAGGAGCTGTCGAGATATAAATTCGAGATATAAAAAATTGTTCAAATATTACAATATTAGGGTTCAAATATTATATTATTACTATTTTAATCATGCTGGATGTCATATGCGAACTTTATGTACAAGACAATAAATAAGTTAAGATTACAATTTTAACGTTTCGACCTTTTAATGTGATCATCTTCAATGATTAATAAAGAAATTGAACCGTGGGCTGATCAAATTGAACATTACATTAAAAATAATTAAGTACACAATAATTCCTCTTTGTACATAAACATAATTCAAAATAAAATGCATTTACAAAATTGCAAGTCTCAATTATGTACGAATTTTCTATCTCAAGGATATATGACTCTTAAATCATAGTATTTCATGAATATTTCTATTAAAATAAGTCCATGTATTAGTAAATCTCTGAGTTAGTCGATCTGTGATGTACATTATATGACCGTCTTTATTCATCATTAGTCATCATAGCAATCTTAAATGTGTTATAGATCTGTACATAATTGAGATTCGTAATTTTATAAATGCATTTTATTTTGAATTATGTTTACATACAAAGAGAAATTACTGTGCACTCAGCTATTTTTAATGTTTAATTTAATCAGTCTATGATTCAATTTCTTTGCCGAATATAGGAATATTCTTTTATTTAATTAAATTTATTCTCATCCAATATTCGCTCCATATTGTCTAAACAATGTTGTAATAAATATGTATAATAAATAAATAATTAACTATATTATAACAAAAGTAAAAAATAACATCTCTGCTGGACAAACCGATGCAAATGGAAATCATAATGTCAGCAGATCCCTTACGGAACAAATCATGTTAGTTACAGCACTATCAACTTTGTAACTCTCCCTCTAAAAAGAATATTTTTAATACAACTATCGGAACCCAGAAAACGAGAACGGATTAGATTGGATATGAATTTTTTAAAATATATTAACTTATTTTTCTATGCACATTTTATCAATACTCTTATTTCTTCAACGGATTTAATAATTACATTTACTTAATAATTGCATTTAAATCAATTAATTCTATTAAAAAGTGTTTAGTAATATGAATTTGTCATTAGTCCGTGCCGCTTACCGCGTTAATAGAGGAGAAAAAAAGCAAGTGTCATGGTTTGCGCGATTCCTATAGTTACTTAGTTAGGTCGAGTTCCACAACTCACAGTTAACTCTTAACTGAGGTTCAACTTGTTTCTTATCTCTTTCCAATTCAAGAATTGGAAAGAGACAATGAATAAGTTGAACCTCGGTTAAGACTTAATCGTGAGAACTGGGAGAATGTTGTAGAACTGAGCCTTAGTTACTGTATCGCATACCGCGTATCGCGATACATGTAATCATACCCTCCCGCTATAATTTACACTGTCGTGGCCAGGGTTATATATTAGAAATTACCGTGTTACTGTGGATTCGCAATGTTACACACTCTGTATATCACACTGGAGTTTTTGTTTGAGAAGCAATGATTTATGTATATCACTTTGGTGCATGCTTTTCAACGATATCACTTGCAGAAATCGGTGACTAACATTTGGTCTCCCATGTTATACAATTTTGCCGCACATTAAATTCAAACAAATTAATCGCACATTCATTGCATTGAATATTGGGTAAAATTCCAAAAGTAAATTACCAATACGTAATTACGGATTAACAGATTGATCGCACGTTTCATTTCTATGCACATTGGGTGAAATACAGAAGGTAAATAACCACACAACTATATATAATCATTAATTCAAACGGATTACGGATACAAAAGAAAAAATTCAAAAACTTGATACCACATCACTTTAATGAAAAGTTAGTTGGATCTTTATTGTATTCCCTTGAGGTTACAAAAATATACAATAACAATTATGCAATTATATACATACACTCTTTTTTTTTGTTTGCGTAGGAGGAGAAAAATCTTCGCAACGCCCTCTCCCGAGGGGGACCCGAAAGGGACACCCATCGGGGGGGGGGAGATGCCCAGCAGCCCGCATTACTGGGCGTGCCGGATTCGACCGCCCCGTGATCTCAGAGATACACCAGAACGGCCGTCTACCGACTAAAAAACTCCCCCTGTTCAAGCAATACCTTAAGACACTTATGAGAGCACCCCGGGACCGTCAACAGACATTACTTCAGGGTACTCTCAGTGTTACAGACGGGATGGCTCTCACCGCACAAAAACGGGCATCGTCTATATTTACATAATCTTGAACGCTAGTTGTATATACAATATTTACATAGTATTTACAATTTAACTTAACCGCTACGAGGAGTCAGAGTATCGAGAGACAGAAGGAGATATGGGCGGATGAAGCACCCAGGCTCTCCGATCCCTCTCACGATCCCTTTCTGCCTCCTCTTTAAATCTCATAACGGTTTCGCAATAGCGTGCGAAAGCCGTCCACGCTTCGGAGGAGCCCATGATGGCCCCAATCACCCGATCGTACTCTCGGTCCAGATCTAGATCTAGTCCGAGAGCCATAAACAAGTGGCCTTTCTCCATGGCCCACGAGGGACAGTGGAGGAGGGTATGCGTATCGATATCGATCGCCGCTCTACAGTGTTGGCAGATCGGCGAATCGATCTTCCTAATTTCGTACAAGTACGACTCGAAGCACCTGTGATAATGATCCATGATAACTTGGGTCATCCTGTAGGTGAGGCCACCATGAGCCCTCGTCATCCAGTTGTCCAGTCGTCCCACTAGAGCGCCTCGGACAACAGCCCCCGGCGCATCCCGTGGAAGCTCCTCCAATCTCCTTTCCTACCTGGCTACGGATCTTTTGGTTTCCTTGTCCCGGATCTGGCTCATCGCCTTGGGAGCGACGAAGCCATCTCGCTCCACGAGGAGCCGCCGCTTCAAGTACGACCGTTTAAGTCGATCCGCTAAAAGGTCAAACGGAACCAATCTCGCTAGTAATAACGACGCCTCGTATGAGACGATCCTATACCCTCGAATCACCCTCAACGCCAACTGCCTCTGCAGTCTCGCTGCATCCCGCCGAGTGACCTACTGTCGCGTACACCCTACGCCTGCATTCCCCCAGTCCGATGTTAGCGGTCAGTCTATCGAGAGATAGACCGCCATATTCAATGTCTTAGGGAACAAACGCTGAAAATGCTGCCTAAATGTCCATCTAGAGTCTAGGACTAACCCCAAGTATTTCATGGTAGTCCTTACCTCGATGATGGTATCTCCTATTCGCAAGCTCGCCCGTGGCCCCCTCCACAGCCTCCACAGCCCTCCAGTAAAAGCCACAACCTCTATTTTCTCCAAGGAAACCCTAAGGCTCAATCGCTTTATGGACCTAGCTACGATTGTTGCCCCCAGCTCCGCCCTGGCCACTGCCTCACGGAAAGTCGGACCCTTCACCACCAAAAGGGTGTCGTCCGCGTAGCAAATGGTCGAGCACCCCACTGGCAAGCCGACACGCAGAATAAAATCGTATCCGATGTTCCACAGGGTTGGTCCTAAGACCGAACCCTGGGGAACGCCGCATAGAGGATTTAACACATCGATCATCTTTATCGACATACCATCTATCAGACAGGTATCCGTCCAGGACACACCGGAGGTATCCCGGAACCTTTTTATCCACTAGAGCACTTCTAATGACCGGCCACGGGAGGGAGTTGAAAGCATTGGCTATGTCGAATGACACAGCCAACACTACCCACCCATCCCGCACCGCATCATCCACGATCGAACGAAGTCTCCAGATCGCGTCTACAGTCGATCTGTTTGGTCGGAAACCAAACTGAGTCTCCACAATACCTCCGGACGCGTCCAGAAAGCGCACGAGACGGTTACATATGATCTTCTCGAATAGTTTGCCCGCCTCGCTCAACAGGCAAATCGGCCTATACGACGAGGGAGCGAGGTCGGGCTTCCCTGGCTTCTTTAAGAGCACCAAGCGTGCCATTTTCCACGGCGCCGGAAAAGTACCATCCCTGAGGCATGCCGTAAAGTAACGCGTCCACAGTCTCGCTAGAACAACCGAGGTGCTCTTGATTACTCAACCCGTTATTCCGTCAGGGCTCGGAGCCTTACCGATCTTAACTCCCAAACGATCAAAGAGATCTCCCCAGTCACTGCCAGAGCTTCGTCCCACCCAACGAGAGAGGAATCCAAGCCAGGATCTCCCACCCCGGGCGGAAACAAAGCCCCAACCACGTTCCTGACAACCGCAGGGAGAGACTCCACTAACCGAGGTGTCCCAACACGCAGCTTGTTAAGGACTATGCGATACGGCATACTCCAGGGGTCCGCATCCAACGTATCTAGAAGACCCTTCCAGAGAGCCATCTTCGATCTTCTGATGGCCCCCCTCAGTAATCTTCTCGCCTCGCGGAGGTCATTCCAAAGACCCTAAACTGTTTCAGAGTCCCGGTACCTACGTCGTAACCTAATAATGCATCTTCGAACGCGAACGCAACGACCTCGAAGATCAGCGATCTCGTCGTTCCACCAGTATACTGATGGTCTACCAGTGGCTTTTAGACGCGGCATAGAGACGTCCGAGGTTTCTCGCAACGCGCTATTGATTTTGTTCGCTAACTGATTCGCTGACATATCCTCCAGAGGAGAAAACGACCATGCCTTCACGTTGGCCGCCGTGCACATCAGGTCCATGTCGACCTTATCAGCACTCCACCGAGGAAAATATTTCCCGAACGCGACTCTTTTAAGAGGGCCCACTACTTGTTCTCGCACTTCCATCAAAATATAACGGTGGTCCAAAAGGGACTCAGTATTCACCGCAACACATCAGTCACGAATGTATCTAGCGGCTGAGGCCGAGGCCGAGCCTCGCGGATGTACACAAGTGGGCACGAACCCTTCATTCAACAGAATTAGATCCAGCCCAGCCGCCCAGCAGGATAAGGTCCTCCCTCTGCGGTTGGCGTCACCTCGATCCCACGCATGAGACCGAGCATTAAAGTCTCCTAATACTAAAAGAGGTCTGCGATTACATGCTTGAATGCATGCACTTATATCGCAGAGCCCTCTCTCAAAATCTGCATCTGGCCGGTTGGGAGAAAAGTAGCAGCTGAAAACTACTACTTTTCCCCATTCCACCGTGACAAAACCTTCCCCCTTAAATAGAGGAGAACATGGAACATCATCTCCAGAATACTGCCAGATCAACGCGGCAGTCGGTGGAATATCCGTGGAGAAGAGCCAACGTCCATCGCAGATAGAATGCGGGTCCGAGACCACCACGAGATCGAGTCTCTCCTCCTCACACACCCACGATCAAGTCTTGTGCTGGCCGCGACCGGTTAACATTAATTTGTCCAACACTAACCATCGGGCGGGTCAGTCGTTACTCCCTCCTCCGCAGGAGCGACAACTTCCGGCGTAGGAACAGTCCCAACAATCACGGTCACTCGCACCGGACTGTTGTAAGGGACGCATCCCTCCCTACTGCAGTTGAAGCACCCGCTGCTCCTGTCTACAGTGCTCTTGCAGTTTGCCCTAGTGTGACCAACCGCGAAGCACCTGTAACATTGTAACCTCCTCTTCACTAATGGAATCATACGCACTCGCAACCAACCTACGCGAAGTCCTCCGTCCTTCTGCAGTAGATCCGCGTATGACTCCGGGCACTGCAACCACGCACTATTGAGGCCACCTCTATTAGGCTTCAATGGACTCACGCGAACGTCGCCAGGTTGTACCTTCTCTCGTGCCGCGACGGCATCTCTGATCTCCTCGGTCGTCACAGATTCGTCCAGATCTAGAAGACGATACTCGTCCTTTCTGATCGGGCGCATCACCTTTATTCCCCTTCGATACTTGAAGAGGGTATTGAGCTTATCCGCCAGAGAGTCCGCCTTTGTCCCAGCATCCTCTCCCGGGATCTCTACCAGCAAGTCACCAGTCTGGGCACGCCTTATTCTGGTGTCCGTTATGCCCAGCTCGTCGAGAGGGACACCGCACCTGGCCTCACCCATAACCTCCGCGTAGGAAGAGCCATCCTCGTCACAACGGATCAACACTACCGCTGAGTTCCGCTTTCGTACCCCAGCGTGTCGTCCGTTTCGGAGCAGCCGCGCTTCCAGTTCTATGTCAATCCCGAGCATCCTTCCCAGAGTTCGCCACTTTATCGCGTGTTTTCCGCACAGCCATCGCAAAAGTTAGACTCTTTTGAACTGTTCTCGCACCACTGGCATTGTCTGAGATCACGTCAGAGGCACGCATAGGCACACCATCATTATTGTTATTTGTCCTACCCCTTTTCTTCTTCTTTCTTCTTTTTATCCCTACTGCCGTCACCCAAAGCTCTCTTTCCTCAGGACCTGATGAAGGAAGCCAGTGAAGGTCGGATGATCCTTATTCCGATCAGTATCGTCCTGGATATCAGCAGGGAGCACGATCCGTCCTTTCTCATCCACCAGCTTTCTCCGTACGGATGAATCCTCTGGACCTTGGAAACTCCACTCCCCTCAACGGAGGGCGGCGTGCGAGAGGAATGTCCTCGGTCGTACGAGGAGCACCCCTGCCCAAGGGAGAGGCACGCGAAGACCGAGCAGATTTCTCACACTCCCCACGCCCCGGAGCCTTATAGCCGAAAAGCTCCTTCCTCAGCGCCTTCACCTCGTGGAGATTGTCTCTATCCGTCTGAATAACCTCCATTTGTTTTCTGAGCGCCTCGACTTCGCGCTCAAACTGAGGGCACCTCCCGCTCATTACCTCAGCTGGTTCCTGGGCCCTCACCGAGTTAGCCGCCGGTTGTTGGACGGCCTGTCTAGCCACCTCGACTCCCACAATAATTTGTCGACGTAGATCTCCTTTCATTGACGATGTTTTACTCTGTGCGCTACTTGCCGCGTCCAGTACCCTAAGAGTCTCCGTCATGATAGTCTTATCTATGATAGGGGACATCTACGGAAACAAGTACGTAATTTCCTCCACGGCAACCTTCTGTCTGTAGGACAAGGAGTTGTCAAGAGGACACTCCTGCAGCTTCCTTTTCTTACCAGTCCGGCTGTCCTTCTTGGTGATTTGGAGGAAGTCCGACCGATCCAGATCGTCATCGTCATAATCATCCATCCTTGTCGCGCTCATCTTTGAGAGAGATTTGGATCCAGGAACGTTGCTCCCCTTTGGCTTGCGACCTCTTTTTTTACCAC